GTCAGTCGCGTCGCCGTCCGCGGCGTGCCCGTTTCCAAGATGGCGGCGGCGGCGGCGGTGTCCGGTGTGCTGGGCCGGGCTGGTTGGAGGCTCCTGCAGCTGCGGTGCCTGCCCCGGTGAGGGGGCGGCCGAGCCGGGGAGCAGGAAGGGAAGAGGAGGGGGTGCAAAGCGACCTGGGCTGGGTGAGGGGCGGAAGAGGCCTTCTTGTCGGCTCGAAAGCAAGGTGAGGTGAAGGGCATAGCGGCTCTCGCGGACACCCTGGCCTTGAATCGGCCGCCTGGCTGGCTTCTGGCCCCAGTCTCGAGCTGTGAGGGACGAAAGCATCAGGGAAGAGCCTGTCACTCCCATTTCATGAAGTTGAGGGACCCCGAGCGAGAGCTGTGGGTGCGCAAGGTCACGCAGCTCGTCGGTTGCAAACTGGCGGACTCAATCTCTTAACTCCATTGTCAAGTCCCTGGGCCCTGATCTCGGGAAACAGCCAGAGAGCGCCTAGTCGCCTTTTCCTCCAAGTCAGTCATTTCCCTACCGCCTAAATAATTCTGTGATAGCTTCGTATCACCTTTCCCACTATATAGTCAGTATTTTTGTTTATACATCTTGAGTTCTTAAAAATATAGACGTTTACTTGAAAGAGGAAACTTTATATCACTACCATAAATGGAAAATCAGTGTCACCTTCCATAAATAGAATGTATGCATTGACACAGTAACATAAATATCTAACTAATGAAATAATAAATATTCTGTATTTTACCTAAAATCTTATGATGTACTGCAGTGGTTTCACAATATTGCTTTCAGATCTCCCATGCCCTTTTCAAAGTTTTATGAATGTTTGCTCCATTTTTTTCTGTACATATACTAAAATATTGATATTTTTACACATATGTGCTATGTTTATTTTAAAAATCATTGTTTCCTTAATTGGTCGATAAATTTTTTTTAAAGGAGTGCCCTTTTTAAGTTGTTTTTATACAAAACTCCAAACTAAATATGTTCAGTAAAAGTAATGCCTGTGACCCAGCAAATTTACTCCTAGGTATTTACCCAACAGAAATGAAAGCGTATATCCACAAAAGCATATTTGTAGCATCTTTATTTATAACAGCCAACACTGGAACAGCCCAGGTGTTCAACAGAATAGTGTTTCTTGGTGGAATACTACTCAGCAGTAAAAAGTAACAATCTGCTGATTGACACAAAAATATGAATCAATCTAAAAAATAATCTAAGCAAAAGAAATCTTACACATGCATGCATAGGACACATCAGTATGGTTCTATTTAAATGAAATTCTAGGACAGGCAAGACTAGGGTGAAAAATTCAGAACAGTGTGGGGTGACTGGGAATGGGGAATGACTGGGAAGGAATACGAGGGACCTTTACAGAGTGATGTTAATCTCTAGATAGGCATTCAAGTTGTGCAAGTGTATACATTGTCAAAACTCAGAATTGGCCTAAGATTTGTACATTTCATTGAGTATAAATGTCACCTCAATAAAAGAACAGTAAGTAAATATTGAACTCTACTTGATACGTGTGATGAAATGTTTAGAGATAAAGAACACTGATGTCTGCAACAAATGCATCAAAAAATGAGACGGATTGATAAATGAAGAGTGTGAGGGATAGATATATACAACTTAGGTGATGGGTATACAGATGTTCATGCCATAATTACACTTGTCTGTATGTTTGAATTTTTTTTTATAGTAAAATGCTGGGAAAAAAAACAGTAGTAAGAGCCTTTGCTTAGGAAACAATACTGTACTTCCCAAAAGCCCTTTCCTGGAGTAAATGGGGTGTTGCAACATTGCAGATGAGAAAGCAGATAGTGACACCACATAAATACTAGAGAGTCAGTACTCAGACCTTCTAATTTCTAGTCCAGTGCTCCTACCATGATATATAAATATGTAACATTTTCACATCACTTTCGTTTTGAAGGGAGCCTCACAACACTCATTGAGCAGGTAAAGATTATTACTCTTAATTTGCATGTTTTAAAGTCATGCTCATTGGGATGAAATAGTTTGCCCATTACCACACAGCTAACAAATGATGGAAAGATATCTAGAAGACAGGTCTTCTGTTTCCTAATTCATGCATTTGCCACCACGTCACTGTCGCAAGGTTTACCCAAGATTTTTTTCTGGGATTCAACACTTGGATGAATGGTTCTGGTTTTCCTCTGATTATCCTCTTGCTCGTCCCTCATACCACTCTGTGTGTCAAAGGGTCTTCTGTGATGAGTGTGTCTGACTGACCAGCCCAGTTTCTGTTTCAGTGCCGCGCTGCCAACCAGCCCTGCTGCCTCGTGCCTTCCATGCTTCAATTATGCAGCTGAGATCTTCAGATGAGCAGAAGCAGCAACCTCCCCCCTCCTTTTCTCAGCAACATCCTGAGACGCAAGGCACGGAAGAACCCCATCTAGAGTCTTCTCGTTCTCCCCCCAGGTAGGCACCAGAGCCCCAGTCCACCCAGTTCTGGCCACTTTGTGTGGTTGGGTAAGTCTGTTCTCCTTCCTCTCTGCTCTCTCCCCTTCACACCTTTTATCATTTTCAAGACTATCCTGAAAGGAACCTTTTTTTTTTTTTTCGTGAAAATGGTGCTGGTACATTCTAAAACATCTAAACAATACAAAGAATTTCACAAAATTAAAACAAAGGATGGTCAGGAGGGGCTTCTGGAAAGAAGGTAGCTCCTGGGTCTGCCCTGTTGGGCTCACCCACCAGAAACAGCAGACTGAGGGTGATGGGCAGCTTCTCCCACCCTGAAGGACACAGGTGCCTGGACCCTCAGAAGGATCCCTGAGCCCATTGCCTCCTACCCTTTACTATCTAGCCTAGGACACTAGGACCCAATCCCTCCAGACGCTGGTGCCCAGAAAATAAAAATAAAAATAAAAAACAAGTAATAATAATAAAACAAATAATTACCAGAAATCACAAACCCAGAAATAAGTCTGCTAACATTTTTGTGAATATCCTTTTAGATGTTTCTCTAAGCATATTTCATATATAAACCTATGTGTATTATAAATGACTAATTATACTGTATACTGTACATGCTGTTCCAGAATCTGGTTTTTCACTCAACAGTATATCTTTTTTTTAAGCAACTTTATTGTGGTATAATTTCTGTACAGTAAGCTACACATATTTCAGATGCACAATTTGATGGATTTTGATAGATGTGTACCCCTATGAAAACATCAACAGTACGCCTTTAATGTCTTTTCACAGTCTATATTATTTTAGTGGTTGCATAATATTCCAGCAAATGACAGTACCAAAATTTATTTGACCTATCTTTTATTGATGGATATTTAGATTTGTTTCCCTGGTATGAAAGATAATGTGATAAAGTGTGTGATTCAGCAGTGGGCACACTGAGTCAAGGATATGCACATTTAACATTTTTTTTTTTTACATATGTGGGGCCACATTGCCCTCCAGAAAGGAAATAATAATTTATATCTACATTAAGTATTTTGTCTTTTCTTAATCCTGCCACTGGGAAATTCCTCTGCTCTGAAATTAGAAATTAGAAATCATTTTTCTGCTTTCCCGATGAAAGTACTTTTCATTTCAATTCAACAAATACTGTTTGAGGACTTACTTTGTGCCAGGCCCTGTGAATAATGTAACCATTGTACCTGTCTTCATAGAGCAACAGTTTGGCAAAAATCCAGATAAAGAAACAGTGTGATAAGGCTATAAACAGGGAAATCAGTGTGCTGCAAGAGCATGTGCCTCCTGTCACATGGCCTCCTTGCTCACTGGTTCCTTTCTCTCAGTGACTGTGGGAAGCGACGGATGATACAACTTTTACTCTGTTGGGCATTTAAACAGTAATACTAACAGAACTAACAGTCTTCCAACATGTTCTAAGAGGACACACAGAGTCTATGGTCAGGCACATTTTGCCTGCCCAGCAGCCGGCAGTGAGATGAGGTGTGCTGGGCCCTGTCCCCATGCCTCTCTTGGATTTCGGGTCTCAGGTATACAGATCAAGGTGGCGAGGAGGAGGAGGACTATGAGAGTGAGGAGCAGCTGCAGCACCGCATCCTAACGGCAGCCCTGGAGTTCGTGCCTGCCCATGGGTGGACGGCAGAGGCAATTGCAGAAGGAGCCCAGGTGTGTATGGGTGAGGGTGGGGCAGCGTGACCAGGATCAGCCAGGAGGGGGTCACACCAGCCAGAGCAGAGGGCTCCCCGCTTGCTTCCAGCCCAGCTCAGAGCCCTGGGGCCTCTCACTGCTACAGGATTTTCAGGGTTGGTTAGTTTATTTTTCCCTAATAGAGTGGAAATGGCTTTATTTTTAAATTATATTTTAATTTAAAAAGTATATACTATGGAGTTGGTTCTTGGGAGTTAGATTCTAAAGGCAGCTCATTAGGCAAGAATTGCTTATGATCAAAACTGCCATATTTCATTGACTCTAAGATGCCATTGATTGGCACCATTATTTTATGCTTCACTAAAAAAGGGAAAATGCTGTCTATTAAACTATGACACATCATCAATTATATGATTCATACTGATTGTTTAAAATGAAAAAATTTGTGCATCTTAGAATTGATGAAATATGGTGTTTGAAAACCCAAGAAGGCACCACCTTGAAGGGCAGCACACCTCATTTTTCTCAGTAAGTCTAACAGTCCGTGTTTCTTT